GCAGAACAACAATAACAATGCGCTACATGTTTCTTTTCCCCTAATTTTTTTCCCAATTGACGGAAATCCGTTGTAGCGACGGAAAACTTTAATCCCTGCATAAACAAAATTTATTTCGAATTTAGTTCAAGCACTTTCAAGGACCTATGTTTGTTTTCAAGTACTTTCCAGGCCGTAGCGATGGAAAACTTTAATCCCTGCATAAACAAAATTTATTTCAAATTTAATTCAAGCACTTTCAAGGACCTATGTTTGTTTTCAAGTACTTTCCAGGCCTTGAATCCACATGTCTGAAATTCAAGTACTTTCAAGAAACGTGGGAACCCTGTTAATAGCATGCTAAGAAAACATTTAGGAGCTAAAATAAATAAAACTGGCTTTATTGGTTTTTCCTTTAGTTTCAGAATCTTGGTGATGTTATTCATAACAGTTTAGGGACCATTTTCTGTCATTGTGAAATAATATCTATCACTATATACCCAAGGCTTCTGAAAATAACATGAATTGTGGTTTAGCAAGCCCTGTAGATGACTTTAGTGATGGGCTATTATCAGCTTTCAAAGGTAGGCAATACAATCATAACGACTGCAGAGGGAGAAATGGGCTGTGTTTTACAAATCCATGCTGCCACCAAGTGGTGTTTAGGAAATATGAAGATGCACCAAAATATCATCTGTGATGCTGAAATCAAATGCAATGGTTTTAAATGGTCCAGATGCAAAGGGATATCTGGGTTAACTGTTACTGTGTAAGCTCTGCATCTCATACATGCATGCTGTCAATTACCACAAAAAAAACTGACCCCTTAGTTTATAAAACCTGTAATACAATGCACACAAATAACATTTTTGCTCAAAAGAGTAAGTTTAAAACGAAGTTAAAGCTGCATATTTCTGTTTTTAAAACTATCCGAATCTCATGTGCTATGGACTCCCATTGCAAGTGCATTACTTGAAACAATATCTGATTATTTTTACAAACTGAAGGATAAATCAGAAATATTGTTTATGGTAATCGACAGTATGTCGCAGATGCTGTTGAAAGAGCTTGAACCTGGAATATTGCTTTAATATTTATTGGAGATCAAGAACAATATCACAAAAAAAAAAAAAAAAGAAATGTCTCAGAAAAATGCCAACCAGAACAGCTACAACTTGCTCCCTCAATTCTAAATATACATTTAGTTTTGTATCCAAAACCACTTTGTAGTACATGAGACACCTTATTGGTACATTATATAACAACAGAACCATGATCCCTCAGAACCTCGTTACTACCATAGGAACTGTTAATGAGTGTGAAAGATCAAAACAGAATGAGAGACAGGCAAACAGACAGGCAGGCACAGAGCAGTACACAGGGTCTGGTGGAGTGGGACCACCGTGCCTCATGGGACATTAACTCATGGTCCCTGTCTGTCACACCGTTCTCTTACCACCATCTGTTTTCCCTTAATTCAACAGCACTCCCTGAGATGGTTTCTGTGTAAAAATAGGGCATTTTCCTTCAAGAAACTCAGCGGATGTTATGTGCAAATGAAGTGCAGCTCCACAGAGGAGTCATCTGTATGCCTGCAGAACTCCCACCGGATTCACAGTTTGTACAAAACCCCTTTATACATGGGAATGATGATTACTGCCATACAGGATGCTGCTTGCTTTGTAGATTTGTATGTTTGTTTCAGCTTTTCCCCGCAAGCACTTTTTTTGAAAACATTTTGGGATTATTTTTAAGGAAAATTTTTCTTCAATATTCTAAAAAAAAAGGAGATGTTAGGCAGAATGTCCAAGCTTCTGTTTTCCACACAAAAAAGTGAATGGTGATTTATACTGCCAAGTTACAAAAAAGACCATAAAAGCAGTCCATATAACTATATTTCTTATCCTTCTGAAGCCATGCAGTAGCTTTGTTTGAGGAATAGAACCAAATTAAGTTGTTGTATATTGTTGATATTCACCTGAAAGCACTCTAACTGTTCTTATTTTTCTTATTTCCAATTTTTTTTATTAGGCAGATGCTTTTATCCATCGCAGCTTGCGCACTGCATTCAAGGTATACATTTTAACAGTCCATGCGTTCTCTGAGAATCGAACCCATGACTTCGGTGTTGTTAACAGCACGAGGTGCTGTTAACATTTTCATTTTAATGACATTTTAACCCTATAAAGACCTATTTCTATTATATGCCTTCTTTCATCTGATTGATGGTTCAAACCCTTCTACCAAGTAAAAGGCCTTTTAGCATAATTCTAAAAACACCCTCTTTTAGGTCGTGATTTAAGTTTGTTGCAAAATCCTTTTCATAAAGTAGACATAATTTTTTGTAATATTTCAAGATGAGCACTTTCTTGACTGAAGCAATTTAGGTTTAGGCAGATTTTGTTTTTCTTTTGATAAAAATCTCAAGTTAAAATGGAAGTATCAAATATTGCCTAATACATCAGGCTTTTGAGGAACGTTTATTTGTTCATCTCTCAATCATCATTGTATTGCACTGCACTACAGAGCTTTGTTATTGAGATATACAGACTTACAACTGATCCTTATATGGCATTTTAAAGTAGTCTGCTGTACTCTCACTATGTCATACCATATGAGCCATAAAATATGGCAGTCAAAAAACAATGAGGACTTTTTTTCAGATATTTCTGACTACCATTTCATATGTCAAGCTTTACAGGGTTAACTTTTTGAATTTATTGAATTGAAATATCGCTTTGTCAGAAGACTTAGAATACAGTGCACAAGTCACATGGACCACTTTTATAGGGCTTTTCAAGTAGCTTGGTAATATAAATCATCATCCACTTTCGCTGCATGCAAGCTGTAGCTTGTACTCATTGTGTGTTTAACTGTGGAAAAAAAATGAATACAGGATCGGAATGGCATGAGGGGAATAAACAATGACACCATTTCCAATTTTTGGAAGAGCTATTCCTTAAGGCCACTGAACTGCCTCCGTTCAAACATTAAAGCAGCTCGAGGAGACAGGGATGTCTTGACGCAGCACCCCTGGAGAAATAGGTCAGGCTGAGTGACTTGCTCAAGGGCACAACAACAGTGAGCGGGGACGTTAAAATGTCGACAGTCTGGTGCCTTCCCCAAGTTAAGCTTACATGCCCTCTGGTTACTGATGAGAAGCATTGATCACTGCCAGCGCAGGTTTGGTTGTAGGCTACAACAGGTTTACTCCCATAAAATAATGTAAAGGTGATATGTACGCATTCAGAGACAGTTTAAAGTTAATTCACCACATAAAAACAAAGCACTTGCTACTCACCTTGCAGCTGAACTCCAAGTCTGCATCCATTGTAACAACTGTGACACTGAAGGTTTTGGCTTGTTTCCTCCGAAGGGAGTTGAGACCCATTTTTGATGCAAGTACACTTGCCATAATAGCCGCTGATGGGAAACCTTCCTCCTCGAAACAACATAAACCTGTCTACTAACTCTCTATCTGAAGCATAGAAGTTGAACTCTGGTTAAAAGCTACAATTTAGCATTACTGGCCAATGTAACAAAAATGTGATTAAAGTGCATCTCTAAAGGCAGGACGTTGTCAAACCACCTGCGTTAACTGGTAACTAGTCGTTGGACACATATTATCCCTATTTACTTCCTCTAAAGCTTCATTAAGCCTGTAAGAAGATAAAGGGAAAAGACAAGAGCACAAGTTTATTAGCTAGTAAATGAGTACATGTACAATAACAATAGACAAAAGAAGCTGCTTTGAAACTACATAAGCGCAAATACCTATTAAGCGACAGATATCTGATAACAAACATAAACCTGTTACGTAACACTTACGTATACATTCCTGTAGCAAAATACGAACTTTTACACGACTTCACAACATTTTAGGTGCTCATATACGCTTGTTTAGGCTAATCTACAGTTTCACGCCTCATTGTTTTTTGGTGTGAGGTATTTTTGACGGAATTGGCCTGACAGCTTGTAAACTGGTTGCTAACTCACCTGTCGAGCTGTAAAAACAGCTGATATCCCGCAGTGTGTGTGATTCACGTCCGCTTAAACACCTGACACACAAACACAGCTGCTGGTTTGACTCTCACTCTTTCAGGCCGAAAAACAAAACTGCAGCTGAAACTTCGCGTGCGCGTGAATGAGGAGGCGGGAGGACATGCGTAATAGCGCGCGTCATTCAGCTAGAGTTAAAAGCCTGTTTTTGTTTGTTTGTTTGTTTGTTTGTTTGTTGTTTTTGTTTTTTGTCAGGGATAATACAAATAAATAAATAAATACATTTATAAATAAATACATGCATACATACACACACATACATACATACCTTCCACTATTTCCGAAAATATTTCCGAAATGTAAAGCTAATACGCAGCAAATTTTAAAGTACTGAACATTTTGCAAATGTAAAAAAAAAGATACATCACTTGTACATTTAATGTTTTTTAATAACATAAAACGACTATTACTTTTTAAAAAGTTTGCAGATTATGCATTTATTACTTTTAATTGTTGTTTAAATAATTGTTATTAATTATAATTTATTAGGTTAAATGTAATTTATTTAGACTGAATATATATATATAT